CTACTTCCGTAGAGATACTGCCTTGGAAACCCAAGGAGGGGTCGCTATGAGTTGGGTCCGACTCGATGGCACATAACAACAACACAACAACAAGGACTATTTTAGGTTCTGGGAAATATGAGAGAACAAGACGGCAAAGTCCCTGTTTTCCTGGGAGATAGGATGGAGGGGAGGAGGGAAACAAGAAAACGGTACATAGGGTTCAGCCTAGGCAGAGTTACAAGTGACTCGTGTTAAGAGAACGCCTGGTATCTTCTTCAGCTTGAGACATTAGAGGAGACCTCTCTGAAGAGGTGACATTTAAAGTGACATTTAAAAATGACAGAATGGAGTAGGACAAGCAAAGATCAGGGGAAAAACATTCCAGGCAGGTTAGCATAAAGGCCCAAAGATAACAGGGGACCTGGCAGGTTCCAGTAACAGAGAAAAAGGCCAGTGTGACTCGGGTGTAGTGGGTGAGAGACTGGCAGAGGCAGGACCATTGAGGGCTGCGTGAGAGGCAAGACCATTGAGGTCTGCGTGGACCACTGTGGGAGGGCTGCGTGGGAGGGATGTGGCCCTGGTCGACGCAGGGATACCAGTAGGAGGCCACTCCAGAAGTCTGGGCAGGGGCTGCAGTGCTTTGGACTGAGGTCTGGTAGCAGGACGAGAGAGGGCTGAATGTGGAACCAGAGTCACCAGAACCTGCTGATGGATTGGACATGAGGAATGAGGGGAAAGGAATAACCAGGAACGATTCCAAGGGTCTGGGCTTGAGCGATTGAGTAGCTGATGACTACAATGAAAGACCAAGGAACAGCTATTTAGCTATTCACTAACAGCCATAACTGACTAACCATGAAATCATATCTCAAGATCCAATCTTGTTACCCCCAATTTTACATCCCCAGGGCATGTTTAGAGGCTTTTGGAAATCCTTTTGGTGCTCATTTTACTATATCAGAAAATAATCACATTTATTCTCACATTTAAGGAGCTCTGGTGGCTCAATGCCTAAAGCATTTGACTACTAACCGGAAGGTGGGCAGTTCAAACCCACCAGCCACTCTGTGGAAGGCAGATGGGGCAATCTACTTCTATAAAGATTTACCGCCTTGGAAACCCAATGGGGGTCGCTATGAGTCTGAAACAACTCAATGGCAGGGAGTTTGGTTTGGTGTTTGGTTTTAACTCATATCCCAGTCCATCCTCCATGGCTGTCTGTAAACGTTCATTCCTGGCCAAGCTTCCCCTCCTCAGCCCAGCGCTTGCGGCCCTGAGCCCAGGCATCTGAGTATAACATGCTGGTCTCTGAGACCCACTCATCTGGTGGGAGGAAGACACTGGCATTTACTTCTAATAACATACCTCATGTATGTTTATAGAAAATAGTATGACTGGTTTGGTTTTCTTGTTTTTTTCTTTATGATAATCAGTAAAATGTGGTCTCTTTGATAAAGATTCCAAAAATAAATAAATAAATACTCACTGCCATCTAGTTGATTCTGACTCATAGCAACCCTCTTTGGGTTTCCAAAGCTGTAAATCTTTACGGAAGCAGACTGCCTCATCTTTCTTCCATGGAGCAGCTGGTGAGTTTGAACCACTGGCCTTTTAGTTAACAGCCAAATGCCTTAACCAGTGCACCACCAGAGGTCCTTGTTTAAGCCAATTTAATTCTAATTATTTCATTATTATAACAGAGGTATTTTCTACATTTGCCTTCAAAATATTGTGGGAGCTTAAGTGTTCTTGCCTGTACAATGGGAATAACAACGTATTAATTTTTCATAGGTATTTTGTGAGGATTAAGTGAAATAATGCATATAGTGCTTACCAGCCACTCCTCGGAAGGAAGGTTGGGCAATCTACTTCTGTAGTGCTACCGCCTCGGCATCCCAAGGTGGGGTCGCTATGAGTCGGGGCCGACTGGACGGCACATAACAACAACAGTATCTGCTATAGAGCATGCAGTAAAGGGGAGTATTATAATTACTAATGAAATGGTAATCTGGTGGGGAAGCCTGCGTATTGCTTTTAAATGAAATGCTTTTGATATCAGAACCAGTCCACGAGTTTTAGTGTTCATATTAGCCAGGCCAGGAAAACAGGGCAGTACGGTTACGTATTAAATACCTACAGGGCCTTGTGTCAAACCTGTCATTTCTTTGGATCAGTTTCCTCATGTAGGTGAGAGAGAGGCTTGGCGGAAATAAGCTCAATTTAAAAACTTGTGGGATTGTGTCTGTGGGTCAGCTACATTGGTGTGTGTGACACTGATTTGGTCTTCTGTTAGTACACTGTGGAATCACGGTGCCAGAGTCGCGTTCCATAAATAGAGGTTTCGGGTGAGGCAATGTCCTGCGTCTAGAGAAGCTTGGCTCTTCAGCTTCTGTCTCTCTGGGGCCTCTGCCCGTGGCTGTTACTCACTCCGGCATGCCCGCGCAGTCTCACTTTGGTTTCCTCCTTCTTTCGACATCAGATGCTGGTGCTTTGACTCCCCACTCAGTCTTCCCAGTGGCTGCCATTACATCAGAGGTGTGCTGTCTTGCCTCCTCCACCTTTTGGGATTTAAAAATAGAAAACAAAAACCAAACCCACAGTCTTCTGCATCGGCTGAACTCTGTTATTCATCTGACAGATTTTCCGGTGAATTCCACAGTGTCATATGTACAGTCAGAAATCTGCCATCAGCTCAAGAGCTGTCCTAGAATAAACCCTGTAAGAAATTACAAAAGATCTTTTTCTTTAGAATAGCGAAGAGTCGGGGACGGCTGCAGCAGCCCACAGGAGGGGCCTTTGAAAAGAGGGTCAAAGCGGCAGGAAGGCTCCCAGCCCTGCTCCTGGGCATCGTTCGTTGCTCCTGTCCAAGCTTCCTAAGCCATCTAGGGAGTCACTGGGTTGATAAGAAGACCGAGAGCCCTGGGGCTCATGGAAGCCCGTCTAGGTTAGAAGACATGGTCCCAGAAGCCACACCCCACATCATAGCAAGCACATGAACGTGGCAGACATCTCCACCTTTGTGTTGCTGACAAAAATTTTTGAAAATATTTGTATAATTTTGCTTTGGAAGTAGGTTAATGACAAATAACTGATTTACTGATAATTTTTCAACAATTCTCATAGCGTACTTAAAAAAAAACTCAAAATGCAGCCTCCGTATTGCTTTCAAGTGAAATATTTCTGATTACCAAATCCACGTTAATGAAGTTGACTCCATAGTCCATTCTGTAGACCTTTCACATTTACTAATAGCAGTTTTGTAGTTCTCCAGTTTTATAGCCAGTAAAGGCTTTTCAAGGTCTCAACATTTTTGTAGCTGCCTGGAAAGCTGGATGGCCTCAGGCACAGTATCTTAATGCCCAGTGAGTAAACGTGGGTAGTGCCAAGCTCCGGGTCATCACTCTTGCCTTCCCCAGGGAATTAGAGCCGGATTTGGGGACATCTCCCTAAAAAAGGATAGCAAGCTCTCATACAAACAGCACCAGTCTGCTAAAACCAAAAGGTGCAACACCCCCCAAAAAAAGAAAAAAAAAACTGACAGTAATTGAATAGTAATTAACCCAGCACACCTGGGTTCAACCATTAATTCACCTTATGACTTTGAATGAGAGGTGTGTGGTCCTCAGTTTCCCCCATTATTCTCTTCAAGCTGTAAAGGCAGTTTTACTGCCTTGTCCAAGTCAGATGCGACTCAGAGCAACCCCACCTTGGGTTTTCCAGGCGTTATCACTACTCACTGTGGAAGTAGAGAAAGTAGATTGCCCAACCTTTCTTCTGAGGAGTGGCTGGTGGGTTTGAACCTCCAGCCTTCTGGTCAGCAGTCAGATGCCTTAGGCACTACACCACCCCCAGCAGTCTCTTTTCAAACACTCCATCTGGCCAGGGTGGAGGCCCAAAAGCATCCATTCTATGGGACTAAAAAAAGGTCTAAACTTGATACAAGCGTTTCCTTCTCCCACATTAAAAACAAAGCAATTTTTAAATGACTATACCTTTATTAAGGAGCTCTGGTGACACTGCGGTTAAGGCAATGGGTTGCTAACCAAAAGGTTGGTGGTTCCAGCCCACTAGCCACTCTGTGGGAGAAAGATGGGGCAGTCTGCTTCTGTAAAGATTTACAACCTTGGAAACCCTGTGGGGGGTCACTATGAGTCAGAATTGACCTGATGGCAGTAGATTTGGTTTTTATAATATTATTATTAATAATATTTTAAGAAAGAAGGAAAGGAGAAGAAAGCAAGGGAGGGAACATGAGAAGGGAAGGGCTACACCATCAACACTTGCTTTTAAAGACCTTTGGAAGATCTTTATTTCTGTGTGAAATAACAAGCTTTCCTTCTCCAGACAGAAAGGCTGTCATACGGAGTACCCATTCCCATTATCCCATTCGGAAGTCTTCTGTCATCTTTTTTTCCTCAGTGAGGAGCAAGTAAAAAGGAATGAAAGGAATCATGGACTTCAGTATCAGATAGTGTTCATGTTCAAGGAGCTCTGGCGGTGTAGTGCCTAAGGCATTTGACTGCTAACCTGAAGGTTGGCGGTTCAAGCCCACCAGCCACTCCGCAGAAGGAAGACTGGGCAATCTACTTTCATAAAGATTTACAGCCTCAGAGACTCAATGGGGGTCACTTTGAGTTGGAATCTACTTGATGGCAGTGAGTTTGGTTTTTGGTTTTGTGTCCATACTCAATTAAATTTTCTCTGTAACTTTGAAAATGGGCAGAATCGTATGTACCCTGCAGGATTCTTTGAAGATTAGAAGAGTCAATACATCCAAGTGCCATAAAGATAGAAAACACCACTACCCCCAAGTCTATTCCAACTCATAGAACTGCCCCGTAGGGTTTCCCAGGCTGTAAATCTTTATGTAAGTAGACTGCCTCATCTTTCTCCCACAGAGCGGCTGGTGGGTCCAACCCTGAGAAACTGTCGGTCTTCCTTCCTTCCATTCCTTCTCATCTTTGGGGGAATGTTAGACCAAACAGGCTTAACAGCTTTCCTTTCCTTTTCTTCTCTAGACGGCCTTCAAGCAGACAGAGAGGCTGATGGAACAGAAGGCGTTGATGAAGATATGATTGTGACGCAAAGTCAAACCAACTTCATCTGCCCCATCACACAGGTACCGTTTCCTCTTGCTTCCTCTGAAAGAAAAAATAATCCCTTCTTAGAGGCCAAAGGATTCCTGTTTGCCGTCTGATTTGATTTCATGTTTGGAGTTAAGGGGGGAGGGAAGAAAAGTGATGAGAGTTGAAGAGTATACAAGGAAGTTTCTTAGCCTGGAAAGAGTTTACAGCCAACCATGCCCTTAAGGATCTAGGAATAAATTCATGTCCATGGGCCAAGTGACGTTACTGGTTTCCCTGCAATTTCTGCTCTGGTCCTCTGCCCTAACAATAATCCAAAGCCAGGAGAATGGGGAGTTAAACGCGGAAAGCCCAGGCCTAGGAAAAAAGAGCTGCAGACTTGGAGAAGTTACTGGAAGTTGATCATTAGCATTCCTGAAAGCCTAATCTCTCCTTGATTATAGCTGGAAATGAAGAAGCCAGTGAAAAATAAAGTGTGTGGCCACACCTATGAGGAGGAAGCCATTGTTCGCATGATTGAGTCCAAGCACCGAAGGAAGAAAAAGGCCTGGTGAGTAGATGCAGGAGGGTGGAGCCTTCCCCAGTGGTGGCTGAGCGGAAGTGGTGAGTTAGTGCTGGAGGAAAAGAGACTTCAGCATCTCCCCTGAATGACATTCTCCTCCCGAATAGTGTAAACATGGAAACTGACTCTGTGAAAACAATACATGAGGAAAAACTTAGTAATCGGTTCAGGAAAAAGCCAAAAGAGCAAGCCATTCAACCACACCTGAAAGAAAGAGAAGAAAGAACTGGGCTGAGTTTTAACCATTAAACCAGGAAACCCACTGCCATCCAGTCCATTCCAATTCATAGCAAGCCTATAGGACAGAGTGGAACTGCCCACTGGGCTTTCAACGTTGTCAGTCGTTATAGAAGCAGACTGCCACTTCTTTCTCCCATGGAGCAACTGATGGGTTCAAACCACTGGCTTTTGGTTGGCAGCCGAATGCTTTAACAAGTGCACCACCAGGGCTCCTTGTTTCAATCATTAGAAAACAGAAATTTTTATGAATTCATACTATTTAAAAAGAGCCTGGGGGAAAGAAAGGAGAACTGTGCCACTAAGGATTTCTTTTTCCTGCTTTCATTTACATGACCAAAATGGGGAGTGGTGAATTTGCCTGCTTCCTGCAACAGGTAATTTGTTTTATAAGTATTATTAAGTAAACATTCCAAAAAGCCACCACTGACGGTCTTGATGGTCAAGATCTCTCAGGGGAAAACTTTCATATTTTTAATTATTTAAATAACTTCCCAAAAGGCTTAAATAATAAATTCATGGATAATCAGTGAGAGATTAATTTTAAAAAATTGGAATGTTTGGGAGATTTTTCTTCTGTGTGTGTGTACACACACACACACACACACACACACACGGGAGCTCTGGTGGTGTTGTGTCTAAGGCATTTGACTGCTAACCAGAAGGCTGGTGGTTCGGAAGGAAGACTGGGCAATTTATTTCCATAGAGATGCCATCTCGGAAACCCAAGGAGGGGTCGCTATGAGTCGGAACAATGAGTTTAGTTTGGTTTTTGGTGGGTGTGTGTGTGTAACACACACACACACATTTTTTTTTTTTTCCATAAAGTTTTCACTGGCCAATTCTTTGAGAGGTGGATGGCCCCTTCCTTCTTCCGAATCTGTCTTAGTCTAGAAGCTCTGCTGAAGCCTGTCCACCATGGGTGACCCTGCTGGTATTTGAAGTATTGGTGGCATAGCCTCAAGCCTCACAGCAACATGCAAGCCACCACAGTACGACAGACTGACAGACAAGTGGTGGAAGGATATCATGCTTAGCAAAGCAGAGGGTCAGCGTAAAAGGGGAAGGATCTCAATGAGATGGACTGACACAGTGGCTGCAATGATGGGCTCAGGTGTAGCAAGGATTGTGAGGCTGGCACAGGACCGGGCAGTGTTTCATTCTGTTGTACAAGCGTCATGATGAGTTGGAGGCGACTTGATGGCACCTAAAAACAACATAGTTATATATATGTACACTGTGGTGGTGTGGTGGTTAAAGCATTTGGCTGCTAACCAAAAGGTCATCGGTTCAAACCCACTAGCTGTTCCGTGAGAGAAAGATGAGACAGTCTGGTTCTGTAAAGATTTTCCACCTTAGAAACCCCATGGGCAGTTCTCCTCCGTCCTGTAGGGTCATTATAAGTTAGAATCAACTCCATAGCTTGGGTTTATTTTTTGTTTATAATATGTATATAACATATATATTGTTTATGATATACATATAAATACACACACATACACACATTTTTTGTTGTTGTTAGGACTGTGGCTTAGTTTCCTATAATATGACTTGTCGAACATAGAACGCTGGGTTGGCTAGGCTGACTCTGACTCAGTTTGGCATTTCTCATGTTGTTATCACTCATTTGTCACAGGAATGGAATTGCAGGTGTGACCAGTTCTCAGTATACTTCTGATAACAGTCCCTTTGATGTGTGGTTTGCTTCTCCATCACTCAGAAATTTGCTGGTCCAGACCTAGAGTTGGAATTCCCCATCACTCCTCATTGGGGTGTGCACTTAGAGACAGGGTATATGAGACTCTAGATATCTGGATGGCCATTAAGTAAGCAATCTGCCGTGTTTATTCTGGAGGAAGGACCTCATGGTTACAAAATTGAGACTATTGTTCAAGTACATTTTACCTGTTTTGAGTTTCTAACTTAGAGTTGAGGTATCACCCATCCCTAGTGAATATACCATTTTACCCTGGAATATAATTTTCTTAGTTTCGGAGTTTCAAAGGTGCCCTTTCTCTACTAAATTTTTTATGCATTCATTCCCTGATAATCAAAAAATTGCATTTAACATAATTACTAAGAATAGGTTTTCCCAGCGAGCTCTTTTTCACAGCTTTCCTTTCTTAAAGTTTGTGATACTCTCCTAGGGTTAGGTTTGAAAAGGGCAGAGCTGTTTCTCCCTACACGTCCCCAAAGGGGGGGAGCTCCTCACGGAACAGGTTTCACATGGAAATAAGTCTTCTTAATGACACCCTTGGCCTTTCTAGTGGACTTGGCCTCTCTGATTTGTACAATGTTTGAAACACTTGAGCACATTTGTCGTTCAGAGAAGTCTGGGTGGTTTCTTCCTCTCCCACTTTCCATACTTCAGTGTCTGAAATTCCACAGGTTCCCTTTGTTGTTGTTGTTAGGTGCCATTGAATTGGCTCCGACTCACAGCGACCCTGTGTGCAACAGAAGGACTCCCTCAGCTGAATTGTAATACCTAGGAAGCTGATGGACGAGGTCTGTGTGGTTTACAAAGAAGGTAGTATCTCCACTGGACCTGGGAGAGTGGGAAGGAGTTCAGAGAATGGTGGAGAGGAGCCTGCTAGCCAAGAGGCTCTGCCATTTGGCCCTGTTCTTCTTGGTGTATAGTAGTGGCACTTACTATGTATTAGAAGGGGAATGGAAGGACACTCTGGGCAAAAAGAATAGGAAAGACATGTAACAGTTCATTATAAAACCAGAAAAACAAACCCAGTGCCATTGAGTTGATTCTAACCCATAGCCACCCTGTAGGACAGAGTAGAACTGCCCTATAGGGTTTCCAAGGCTGTAAATCTTTACAGAAGCGGACTACCTCATCTTTCTCTCATGGAGTAGCTAGTGGGTTTGAACCACCAACCTCTTGATTAGCAGCCAAATGCCTTGACCACTGTGCTACCTGAGCTCCTAACAATTCATTGTAGAGGAGCTTAAATGTCATAGTGAAGAGTTTGGATTTTCTTAGTTCCCTCACCTATAAATTGATAATTAGTCGTACTTGCCTCATTGATGCATTTGAGGTTTAAATAAGATATGTGCAAAGCAGGTCTTGGTACACAGTAAGGCTCAGGAGACATTATGCCACCACTGTCATTATCATATTCATCATCACCACCACCACCACCACCACCACTCACTCTACAAGCAGGGGAGAACCTTGTTGGGAGCAAGGTGAGCCAACCTGGGGTTGAGGAGTTACTCCTCCTGTAGCTTTGCAGGGGATGGGTTGGAAAGACCTCGGCCTTTTTAATGAGGTAATAAGGGCCTGGGCTGAGGGAACAGTCATGGGAGAAGGGACTGAAGATGAGGTGATTGTAAAGGTACAGTTGACTGCATGTTGGAGGGAGGAAGAAGTGAAGGATGACCAAAATTTCTAATCTGTGCGTCTAGAAGATGGGTGGGGTCATTAGCCCACAGAGAGGGCATCAGGAAAGACAGTTAAGAAGTCTATGAGGGACTCGATTTGGGCCATGCTAAGTTTGAGGCATAGAAAATGTGGGGTTTTGAGCTCTAGCTAGACATGCTGACTGTGACATTATCAGTACAGAGGAGTCACACTCCCCCTCCTGCCGTCACAGACGCAGCTGTAGAATGGATGCCATCACCAAGGGGTGGGGGCAGCAAGAATTGAACCTCAGGTTGTCTCTGAGCTCTGCTGGGTCAGGGTCTAGCGCTGCTGTAATGCCTCAGCACCTAACACAGGGCCTGATACAGACCCTCAGAAAGCATTTTGTTTATTAATTAAAGAGGTCATCAGAGGAAGAAGACCCCAAGAAAGCCATCTAAGACATAGCCGGGAAAAAGAAGAGTTGAGTGTCAGGGGAGCCAGTCAGGGAGCAGGGAGTGCTGGACAGGGTCCTGAAGACAAGGGGCATTTGGTGACAGATTAAAATTCAGGGTCTCTTCAGCAGCGCCTCCAGAGGTCCCTGTGTAAGCACAGAGTGCTGTCATCCCCATGATGCATGTTTGGCTGATGAGCAGTTCTGGGTGCCCTTGCTTTAAAGATGCCAGTGACACATCCCGTTTGAGAATCTCACTTCTTCCACCTAGATTGTTCCAGTTATGTTTTGTCAGACTGGAGTCATAGGCACATTGTGTTACTGGGCACTGACTGAATTGGACTGTGCATGTCCAGCCCCAAGAAGACCTCACTGCCCTGCCTGGAATCCAAATAAAATTGTTGGGACTTCAGCCCTAATGAAATACGGCACTTAATTTCCTAAAATACATCTCTTCTTAAAGCTATGTATTATCTTCCTAATAAAGCCGTCTAATGATTTCCTTACTAACAAAAATACATCCAGTTTTACCACAGCCACTTCTTTCCTTTTTTGTTTAGTAACAGGAACTGTACTTACCAGACAGTGGTATTTAAGAGCATGTGGAATAAAATGAATAGAGGGACTGTATTGCTGAATAGCAGAAGTCTGCCATTGAGCTCTTAGTCCTTATGTTACCAACAAGTCATTTAACTTCTCAGAGCCTCAGTTTCTCCCTCTATAAAGAGGAGATGAGAACAAGATCTCACAGAATTTCAGGGACCCAAGGAGTAGTGGGGAATCCCATACCAGCCAACTTCTGGGCAACAGAAGCAAAGGTGTGAGAAGGCTCTTTGTGAACTACCAAGCCCTGAACAAACAGCAGTGAGTTTGTCACGGTCGAGACCATTAGTGGTAGGATGACTTACACTGCTTAGTGACACATTGTTTTAGACTCAGAGCGTG